AGGAGGAACCAGTTGCTGGAGAAGGATATCATGTTTGGTAAGGTGGAGGGTCAGAGAAAAAGAGGAAGACCCCCAACGAGATGGATTGGCCAAGTAGTAGCATTGATGGACTCACGCGTGGCAACAATAATGAGGTTGGCCCAGGATCGGGCAGTTTTTCATTCTGCTGTGCATAAGGTTGCTATGAGTCAGCACGGACTCGATGGCAACTAACAACAACAACAACAGCTATGTGAGGACAAGGTGAGCTGGTAGTGTAGTTGGTTATGAGTTGGGCTGCAGTAACTGTAAGGTCAGCAGTTAAATCTACCAGCTGCTCCTTTGGAGAAGGATGAGTTTTTTTCTCTCTTAAACATTGATAGTTTATGAAACACTAGGAGTCGGCACCAATTCAGTGGCACACAACGACCACCACTATGTAAGAACAACACACATAAGAACTGAGAACTCATTAAACACTCCTCAAATTATATATTTTTAAATAATAAATAGGCATAGTTCTTTCTGCAACAGAACAATCAGCAACTGTAAATAAATTTTAAAAAAAACAACAACTGAGTTGTACTTATTACAATTAGTATTCATTGCTAATGACTGTGGTTTTCTTACCATAAACACGATCATATAAATTATCATCTGGACTCCTTTTTGGCACCACTATAAATTCTGTATCTTGTATGGTAGGATTTTTTCCAAAAAATTCACCAGTCACTGCAATTTCCACCACTTCTTCTACCCTCTTCTTGGCTTGACATTTTATGACAACTACAGAAAAGATATATCTTCAATTAATTTTATTATAACTCTTAGCTTATAGCATCATACTTGAAATGAAGGACAATGACTATGTCTTATAAAATAAAACTTGTTTTGGTAGACTTGGACTAGTTTTGCCATTACATCTAGCATTAACAAACACACATGTGTGCAGACACATACAATATGCAAGCAGACTGACATTTTTGAAGCAAAATATTAATAAAGAATATTATAAAATAAGATGGCACAAGATTAATCTGGATGCCACAAATTATATATTTATTCAATTATAATTTAGAATTATAGTTAAGATATTATAATTTAGAAATTTGATTCCAGTTCTAATGTTGTTGTTGTTTTAGTGCCATTGAGTCAGTTCTGACTCATAACAACCCTGTATAAGGTTTACACACCAGGACTCCAGGTTCTGATAGAGTTAAGTCCATCATTCAACTAGTAGCTATGGTATGGACATTTGAATATCTCAGCTTTTAAAATCTGCATGTTCATTGTGGTTATACCAAACATTGCTTATATAATAACACTGTAACAACTGGGAAAATATTATATCTAAGACCTAAAAATAATTTTAAAAAATAAGTTCTAACATTTATGTTGTAACATCCATTTAAAATTTAAAAAATTTATTTTTAGATAATTTGCTAATTTATTTATATGTACCTTAAGAGTAGATTTAAAATATTTAAGTAAAACATTTAAATTTTCATTTATGAATTTGCTTTTAAATGTATACTATGTACCAAATGTATACTATGTACCTTTTGAAGGAGCTCTGGTAGCGTAGTGGTTACAAATCGGGCTGCGAACCTTAAGGTCAGCGGTTCGAAACTACCAGCCGCTCCGCGGGAGAAAGATGAGGCTTTCTACTCCCGTAAAGATTTACACCCTTGGAAACTCTGTACAGGGTCGCTATGGGTCGGACCCGACTCGATGGCACTTAACAACAACAACATGTACCTTTTGAATTGTTTAAATGAAAGTATCATTTATTACTTAAAATTAAATTTAAAATAGAATTACAAATTAATTATATATATTATATATATAATTAGCAATTATCTTTATTATATATATATATATACAGGTGCTCTAGTAGCGTAGTGGTTATGAGTTGGGCTGCTAACCTCAAGGTCAAGAGGTCGAAACTACCAACCATTCCACAGAATAATGATGAGGTTTTCTGATCCTGTAACGATTTACAGCCTAGGAAACCCTATTCAGGGTCACTATGAGTCGGCACACCACCACCATATATATAGTGGAGTCCTGGTGTGGCGCTGTGGGTTAATGCACCAGAGTGCAAAGCCATTTGAACTGCAAGGTCGGCGGTTCAAGCTCACCAGATGTTCCTCGGAAACCCTATACAGGGTTGCTATGGGTCAGAACCAACTTGATGGCACTTAACAACAACATATATATTATTATATATATATAGTTATATAAAGAGAGTCCTGGTGTGGTGCTGTAGGATAAGCTCTGGACTGTTACCAAAGGTTAGTCAGTACCAACTCATAGGGACCCTGTATAGGGTTTCCGAAGCTGTAAATCTTTGCAGGAGAAGAAAAGTCTCATCTTTCTCCTGAAGAGCAGCTGGTAGACTGGAACTGTCGACCTTGTGATTAACAGTCCAGTTCCCTATATATATTCTGGCTCGTAGTGACCCTACAGAACAGAGTAGAATGGACTCACTGGATTTCCAAAACTGTAAATCTTTACAGAAGCAAACTGCCACATATTTCTTCTACAGAGTGGCTGGTAGATTTGAACCACCAACCTGTCAGTTAACAACTGAGCATTTAACCACTGCACCATAAGTGCACCTAATTAGATAAAGAATGACTATTATTGTATTCCTTTGACTCAATGATACTCTAAGATCATGTGTATGAGGAGGCATCAAAAAGTCCATATAAATAGGAGTATACCTTGCAAATATATTAAATTCTTTATTTTTCAGCTCAGATGCACATAGAATATTTTTATATATTTTTTAAAGTCAGATGTATGTAGAGTATAAATTGAATATAAAGGAAAAGAAGAATCATGATATAGAAAAATATTTTCAAATATATTATGCTATGCTTTCATGGTATCAATATCTATTTAAACTGCAAAATTGGTTTGTGTCCTCAGATTTATGTGTTTTTGCAATATATATAATATTTATTGTCTAAACTATTTAATGTGAATTTTCATTCTAAAATTTACAAGCTGATATTGAACACTCTGAAATTTCAATACATAATGGAATGTGAAATGTATACTATGGATACAATATTTTATATATAAAGGATGAGGACTAAAATGGCTGGGAAACATGCAAGGTTTTCTGGTTACAATTAACTTTAATTTTAAAACACTACGTTGGACAGCAGTGTGATGAAACTTACAATTAGTACCCTGTCTTTGGTCATGTCCTATAAGTTCTTAGGAAATCCATGCCCTGGCAATCCAAGTGTCATTCAATCACAATGGATTCATTTTCCATTGTATTTACACTGTGACAGGTGGTGAGGTCCATTTCCAATTATATGCCCCAGTGGACAGGCACAGATCACAATGCATGAGGCTCACAAAACAAGAAAGCTTACCCTTTGTTTAAGAATAACTTAGGAAAAAGCATAAAAATGAGGGCAGGAGAAACAAGTGATATAGAGTTGAAAAGGGAGAACAATGGGTCATTTCTGATGAATTATTAAATATAGAATGCTGAAGAGACTTTAGTGAATCTGAATAATATATGTCTATACATTATACTGATTTGCTTCTCAAGGGAGTTTGCAGATAAAAAAAAATACTAATGTAAGTTTGAGATCTTTGGTAAAATGATTTAATATCTAGTACACCACCAATGGCTCCTTGGAAACCCTAAACAGGGTCGCCATGAGTTGGAAGGAGTCCTGGTATGGTGCTGTGACTTTATGGGCCGGACTGCAAGGTCAGTTTGAGCCACAAGGTTGGTGGTTCAAACTCACCAGCCGCTCCTTGGAAACCCTATAAAGGGTCGCTGTGGGTCAGAACCAACTTAACAGCACTTAACAACAGCAACATTGAGTTGGAATACACCTGATGGCACTTAACAACACGATATTATCTAACATAACATAGGCTATTTGCAGGTTTTATACTTAATTTTAAAAACGGAGTAATTAGCAAGAGAAGTGACCCAAAGGAAAACGCCTAGATGTTCTAGGAGCAGGTTTAATTTTCTATGAAAAGAGAGAGATCCAAGAAATCTATGTTTCTGATTTTATCGCTTTTAGACTATTTCTACCTTCCAGCTTTAATCTGGGAAAAGTAAAACTGTATTCATACATGCAGTTGTTGTTGTTAAGTGTCATTGAGTCAGTTCTGACTCCTAGAGACCCAGTATAGGGTTTCTTAGAAGCAGCTGGTGGGTTTGAACTTCTGACCTTTCAGATTAGTGTTGAAGGGAGAAGGAAAATATAAAACTTCAAGACTTCTTCCAGAGCATCAGTATTACTCAAAGGTGAAAGTCAACATAGATGCTACTTTGCTCTGCAGGGAAATCCAGCGCATTTTCTGTAGAAAAACTATGCCCAAATCTGTTAAGGGACTGGGATTCTAAATTTCTTTGTATAGTTGTCTAAGAGTAATTGTGTTTCATAGGTTGATCCTGGGGAAAAATCAAGAAAAGGGGAATAGCATTGAGAAAAAGGACAACCACAAACCTGTCCGAAGCCAGGGGCCAGTGGAGAAACAGAAGTAAAAAGAGCAGGGTTTTTCAGTTCTATGCATGGTAGCAAAGTGAAACTGCCTAAAACTGGAGTACACCCTGACTTGTTTTGGGAGAACATCAGTCTGAAACAAATGAGAACATAGGGACAACCATTCCACAGGATAAACCTCGGATGAGACTGACATGTGCCCAAAAAGAAATATGATGATCAAAAGTGACCTGAGGGCCAAAGTCCCTGAGATTCTTGTAGATCCAAGGCAGGACTGTGAGTGCCTCACAGAATGTGGGTTAAATGGACCTGAAGTTACTTTTATTTCAACCTTAGCTGATATCTGGGTTTCAACAATAAGAATACAATAAAAAATGGTGTGATTGGGAAACCAGGTTCAAGTCCCAGCTCTCTCACCAGTAGGGTTGGTCACTTCACTACTTAAATTTTCTGGACTTCAATTTTCTTGTTTGTACAAAGAAGAGATGAGACTAGAGGTTAAGCATTGGGCTGCTAACCTCAAGGTCAGCAGTTCGAATTTGCCAGCCACTCCATGGGAAAAAGATGAGAATTTTTACTCTAGTAAAGATTTACAACTTTGGAAACCCCATACAAAGTCATTATGAGTGGAAACTGACTTGATGGCTTACAGCAAAAGTAGCAGCAAGTTCTCTTAGAATCCTAGAGTTCTCTGACTGTAAATTTTACATACCTGAAGGGCCTGTAGGAAGTGGTGCTTGTGGGTGTCCAATGATAGGGTATATCCAATGTATTGCTTTTACTTGATGGCCATTCAGTCTCATCATTCTAAAGAGAAATTAAATTATTAAAAGTACATCAAAAAACAAAACAAAAAAGAAAAAAAAAAAGTACATGAAGGTAGACTTCCAGTTTGGAGGTGACAGAGCAGAGTCAGGTAGGACAGGCTCCGTGGGGGAGGAGCTGAAAACCCAGAGACGCTGCTCTCATGGAACAGCACCAGAGCTCTGAATCTTGCATAAGGTTCAGGGCATCAGTTTACTGCAACTGCCAGTGGAAAAATCACAGTATAAAGGAAAATATTGCAATTCAGGAATTGGTCAAGACACAGGATTCCCTTTGTGACCATCCCACCTGGGCAGAGGTCAGAGGGCGGGACTACAGCCAGACAGGCACAAGGAACCAGTGCTAAAAGCTGCACAGTGACATTTGCAAAAGTAGGTGTCGGGGGTTTCTACATATTTTTTCCTCCTCTTCTCTGTTGCTCCTTCTTTGCCCAGCCTGGACGCCTGCAGGCGGCTGAGTATGCACCCCAAAAAAAGTCTAGTGTTGAGACCACAGCTTTCCCATGGCACAGAGAGAAAGAGCCCTATTGGTCCAAGGACAAATTCTTTGGCTGCTGCTTTTGACTTCTGACTGTGGGTCCCAGCCCTAAAGTTAACTTGTGTGGGACCCTTTACTCTTGCCTATCCAGCAAGAAAAAAAGCAGGTTTGGCCTGACAGACAAACCATAAGAACAATCTGTAAAACCCCAACATAAAAAGATGCAACTATTTCAAGAATTACATCGTGCACACACAAATACCCAACTAACATTCAGAGACAAAAATAATAAACAATCTTTTTCTCAATATCTACCTGTGCAACTCTATGGTGGTGACTAGAGGAGGGGCCTGAGTGAGTGGACACCCCCACGCACTACTGAAGGCTTCTACAGTGTACACACGCTACCTGTGTAGCAAGGTAACTGGCCAGTCAGCCACAGCTTTTTTTTGTCTTTGTTTTTGTTTTCAAAGAGGTGGTTTTTGTCTCTGATTTTATATTGCTTCTGCTTTGGGGCCTTTTTTTCACACATGTTTCCTGGAGGTGGGAGCTTTTTCTCCCTATGTTACCCAAGAAGAGTCACCAATTGTGGCCATATAGCAAAGCTACAAGCATGCCCCATAATATTCCATGACTGAGACAATATCCAATAACAGCTGCTAAGCATTACATGCAGAAAGGAAAGCCTATCTCCTGATCATATCCGCCAGGAGACACCCAGTAAGAAAACATATAATAACACAGCAACAAACATAAGCAAACATATAATAACACAACAACAGACATCCATTTAAGCATTAAAAACCCACATAACTACTAGAAATGACCAACAAAACACAACAAAAGTTAATAAAACATGCCCCAAAACAAAAAAGAGTAACTGAGACAAATGAGCTGGACGAAGACAAAGGCTTTCAAGAAGAGGAAGAGCAGGTTTTGGCTTTGCCTGAGAAGGAATTCAGAAGAATGATATGGAAATAAATTCAAATGCTCTGAAAAAGGGTGGAAGAAAACAAGGAAGAAGTCAGGAAAGTACTACAAGAGCAACCAAACAAGACTGATACAGTATTGGAAACAATTCAAAACCTGCAAATAGAGGTCTAGATGATTAATAATACAATATCAGAAATGGGCAATACACTGAAAGGGGCAAGGAGCAGAACTGAAGAGATGGAAGCCAGAACCAGCAAACTGGAAGACAAATCTCTCAATACTGCTAAGATAGAAGATCAAGCAGAAAAAAAGGATAAAAAAAATCTGAAGAGAGTCTAAGATTTATGCCAGATAACATGAAGTGGAACAACTTAAGAATTATTGGCATCCTGGAACAGGAGGAATCAGAGAAGTCCAGAGAGAAGATAGTTGAAGAGCTTCTCAAAGAAAATTTCCCTAACATCTTGAGAGATGAGAAGATAAACATTCAAGAAGCCGAATGAACCGCAGGAAGGATAGACCCCAAAAGAAAATCACTAAGACATATAATAATCAAGCTCTACAAAATCAAAGACAAGGAGAGAATCCTAAAAGCAGCCAGGGAGAAGAGAAATGTTATGTACAAAGGCTAGGAAATCAGATTAAGCCCTGACTATTCAGCAGAAACCATGCAGGCAAGAAGGCAATGGGAAGACATATACAAAATCCTAAAAGAAAAAAAAAACTGCCAACCAAGAATCATCTATTCAGCAAAACTGTCAATCAAATACGATAGTACAATCAAAACATTCCAGGATAAATAGAATTTAAGAGATTTTGTCAAAGTCAATCTAGCACTTCAAAACATCCTAAAGGGAGTTCTTTGGACTGAAAACCAACAAGAACAGACAGAGATTGACAGGCATGGCAACACCACCTGAAACTCAGACAATAGATAGTAGAGTACAGAACAGAACAAACTTACAACAATGAAATCAAAGGAGCTGGGAGGTCAACCGAAGATCAAAATAATAACAATGTTAAAGAAGGGAAAACGTAGGAACAGAGATCCAGGTGGTGAGGAGGTCAGGTAGATTACAGGATACAATAGATTCTCTTAAATGGAGGGAAAAGTTAATAGACTATGTTGTTGCTGTTTTTATGTGCCATGGAGTCAGTTCTGACTTATAGCGACCCTGTACAGGGTTTCCAAGGCTATAAATCTTTATGGGAGCAGAAATCCTCATCTATCTCCTGTGGAACAGCTGGTAATTTTGAACTTCTGACCCTGAGGTTTGTAGCTTGATTTGTAACCACTACACTATCAGAGCTCCTTTAATAGACTATAAGGTAACCCCAAAGAAAGTTAATATTTCACAACTTACCATGAAAATGAACTTTAAAGCAGAACAATTATACATGAAAACTAAGAAGAGCCCAACAAGAAACAGCACAAAAAACCACAAACTCAGCAAAAAATCAAAAGCTCAAAAAAGTAGAGGGCAATAAATGCTGGTAAGGATGCGGAGAGACTGGGACCCTCTTATATTGTTAGTGGGATTGCAAAATGGTCCAACCACTCTAGAAAGCAATATAGTGCTTCCTTATAAAGTTAGAAATAGAAATACCTATGTTCAAGCAATTTCTGTACTTGGTATTTACCCACAAGAAATATAAGCCATAACACGAGTAGATATATGCCCACCAATGTACATAGCAGCACTATTTACAATAGCAAAAAGATGGATACAGCCTAAGTGCCCATCCACTGAAGAATGGATAAACAAACTGGGGTACATAAACACAATGGAATACTATGCTGCCTTGAAGAACAACAAGGAAGCTGCAAGCCACCACATAACATAACATTATGCTGAGTGAAATTAGTCAGTCACAAAAGGAGAAATGCTGCATAGGACCATTATTGTAAAAGACTAAGAAAAAGAACCCACCCAAAAGGGGAAAAATTTTATATATAATTGCTGATCACCAGGATGTATGGGATGAGAGGAGGGGAGGGAGGGAGGGGAAGACAGAGCACAGGGTAAGGAATAGACACAGGATAGCTTGGTTGCTGGGGGGTGGGGGGAAATACACATGAAGGGGATGGGTAATAGAAGAACAAGGCTGATGGGAGAACAGTTAGACAGGTTCGCATGGGCTAAGTGGAAATGAGGTAAGTAATGATGTATGCACAACTTTGAAAGAACAGGGCTTCGGAATACAGGGATTGAGGCATGATTTGAATGGTAAAAGAGGAATAATGTTAAGATGTTTGGCTGTCTTTAGAATCTTGGTTTCTCTTGCTTACCATTGAGAAAAAAAAACAGTTGGTGGAGGGAGGAATAGCCAGAAACATCACAATAGAAAGCTTCTAAATCTGTCTTCAGCCTATAACTGATTAGAATACCTTAAAGGGGGCTAGAAGTTGCCCAGTTAAAGAGACCTCCTGCGGAGCTTTTGCATTGCCTAAGACCATAGGTGTAAACTAGAACCCCATCCAGAATTGTCTGAAGTGGGAAATTTCTGCTGGAAACGACAAATAGACCAGCCTGGAGCAGCTAGAAGAATAGAAGCTACTTCGTGAAAAAGACCAGCAGGAAAAATCTGAAACAATAACGGCAGTCTGATTACTACAAGAACGAGTAAGCTGTTTGCCCGGGAACAATCAAGGCAAGTGGTCGAGTCCCCTCAGATCAAACTCCCTTCCAAGACTAAGACTCAATGGGAATACAAAAAACAGCAATAAAGTTGCGAGCTAAGCCTGACCACATTCAATAGACTCCTGTGAACCCGGGTGAAGACCTGGATGGCCAGCAGTATGGCAAGACCCAGGGACACCTAGGCCCAGAGGCAGTGACATGGTCATAGAGAACTAGAGCGGAGAGTGAAGCATCCAGCTAATATGAAGTGAGGGGAGATGCACAAGAACACCCATACTTGCAGATAGTACCCACTTGATCTGGTTTCGATAGCTGGACGATCAGAACTCGACTAGAAGAAGAAAGACGAGGGAAGAAGAAAAAAAAAAGAGTAAGTTACTATAATTTGATGAACTTTACCTATATTTACGGATGTAGTAGCTCAAAAAAGGTAACAAATCTTTACAGCAAGTATCCCTCCCACCCCCTTGGTACACAGGGTTGACAAGGATGGGCAACTTAGACATTGGCTACACAAAATGGGTGTGGGGGGATAATAAAGGTAAGAAGTGACTGGCTTACTACCTTTAAAGAGGGAGTCTAGTTCCAGATGGGGCAGGGGAAGGTAGAATCTCCATCTCCACTCAATGATTTCTAATCTGTTGGGACTGGGCTGGTGAAAGGAAATGGGGATAAGACTCTTGTGGTACAATAGTGAATAATTGCCATCAGGACAGAATGCGAGGGTCAGAAATGTAGAGGTAGATGTTTTTTGACAAAAGGAGGGGAGTGATTGATTTTGCAGCCCAGGAGCGGTGGTCCCTGGGACCAACAAGTGAGAACAGTGGAGAGCATGACCCTACCTAGAGAGGCAGTGACAACAGGTATGGAGACAGATGATGATGTGGACAGATGGAGCAATTGGGGACACTGGACTCAGGGAGGGAGAGA